TGCTGTGAAGTGGCAGGACACTATTCGATTTTACAGACTTAGGGTTGTTTGTGACTTTGATATTCTTCAGAACTGCACTACAGCTTTTCGTAGACATAGAACTTCCTGCTTGTTTGGTGGCAGAAGGAAGAAGCTTCTTCTCTGGCAAAGAACTTTTTTCCCCCTCAGGTTTTACTGGTTTTCGGAAGGAATTTATCTTGGATGGGATAACTTTGCCACGGTATTTGCCGAGCGCTGGTTTCTTTGGTAGGCTGATACTTGCATTTTGTTTTTCTGCAATCAATTGCTTCTCTCTTATTCTTTTTATTTCCAAGAAGGCCTTACTAAGTGATGCATGCTGAGATTTTATTTCAGTAGCTTTGGCCTTAGAAGCTTGATCTTCAAGATTCCAGTTTGTCCCTGATAGGTAACTTGTCAGTGGGATTGTGGAAGAGTTTAAAGTAACATTTTTTTCTGAGCTTACACTTGATTGGTCCCATGACAGTTTATCATCATTCTCTTTATTTTCCTGAAATCAAATGCAAATCCACAGCAATATTAGAAGTACACTCATTCTGCATGTTGTTTCTAAAGATGCTTCCACTGATTTTAGGACTGAAGTGATTAAAGGTAAATGCCACTTAAAAAGTACCTACAGAAGCAGTGTATAAATACTGAGTAGAATATTTGTCAACTATTATTGCGGAATTCACATTAAAAAAAAAAAATCAAATAAAAATTGCTTAAATTTTGCCTTGGAAGTAAGAAACAAAACTCTCAAAGTAACTGCTGGCTTTTAATTGCCAAAATTACCTTCTAAGAGAAGTTATAAATAGAAACTTGCTTTAGACTGTATGTAGTCAAAAGCAGTATCTCTACCTACCTCATCACTTAATGGCAGCACCATTCCCCCACTTAGTGTGGATAGTCTACTAGCAGGAGGTAGTGAGTAAAGCCTTTAATTAGGGTAGTAGGAGTTACCAGAAGAGGGAGAATTTTTCTTACTATTGAGCTACAGGATGCTGTAAGTCAAGAATAGTTACGTCAGTTTTATATGGATTTACTACTCCCTGAAACTCTCAGCCATATGGTCTCAGCACAGCCCTCCATGAGAAGTGGGATCTAGTATTTTCGTCCAAAGAAGATGGTCTACAGCAACTAATTCAGCATTGTCCAAACAGCAGTTTTGAAAGAGTAAAATATCTAAAGGCAGGAAAAAATCATGAATGACACACGGACCTCTGCAGAAGCTGATACTCTTTTATTTAAGATGCCCTCAAACTGTAAAAGAAACTACACTGCATCTCATTTCTTGGTCTGTCATTCAGGCGAGAAGTTAGATTTGACCTATTTGACTTCTATAACTAGAGCTTGAGTATAAGGGGCGTTATTTCAAGAAACTACGTAGCTTAACTTCACTTTAAAATAACATGAGATATTTATACAGAACAAAATATGTCCCTTCAGGAAATTTATAAAAAACCACCTTTGTTCTAACTTTTGGAATTTTTCCCCGCAACATTCTGTTTTGAAGTTTTCAGGTTATTGGTTTCCTCCCCAAATAACTCTACGTCTCAAATCTTTTGGAACTCAAATTCAAAACTGCCTAACACAAACCCAGGTCTTGTGTCTACTTTTTTCTCACCTTTCCCTGAGAACAGGTCTGGAGAAGAATCATTTTGCTATTTCTAAGCAGCACAACTGTTTGCATCTTAATTTTGGAAAAATGACATGAAATTATATAGGGAACACATTCTATTAAACTCTGATTAGGTATTGGCACCTACTTCTGATTATATTAGATTTGCCAGTACACAACTGAAAAAGCACGCTCAACAGTTAGTTTTGTTAATGATTTGGTTTTCTTCCAAGTAACAGAGTACAAATAGAAGACTTCTCTACTCTGTCAGAAGACCTTAATTAGATTTTAAATTAATTCCCTGAAGACTGGAAATATGTAAAACAAATTCTGAGATTCTTAAGAAAATTGTTAAAATGAAAGCATTATTTCAGCAACAATAGTATCCTCTTTAACTCCCTCCACCATCAGATACAAACTGAATATCAATATGATCCATTACATACTGTAATGTGACGGCTTTCCAAAAAGCATATAATAAATAGTGACTGAAGAAAGTTTTAACAACCTGCACTTCTGCACCTCAAAACTTCTCATGCTCTGGAAGTCATACAACATAAATATGATTTAAGTGAGTGGAATGTTGTAGCTGCAAGAAAAAGAGTACCATCAGTATTTAAATATCACTAAAAAACTTACCATTTCTGGCTTTGGAGATGTTGAGAGCTGTAAGTTGTCTTTCAGTTTATTGCTAGTTGCTCTCAGAGTTCTGCTACTGCTTAAAAAAAAATAAAAATCTTGAATCATGAAACAAAGAAATGTATTTTTTGTCCAGTTGGCAGTCTGCTGGCTGAACTCACACTGAAGTATTTCTGTTTAGCTTGTAGTATTCTTCCAGCAAGAAAAAAAAAATTTTAAGCAACCACTGATCGGGGCCCAGACTGCAAAACATCCTGTCTTACACCACAAAGAGCTGGCTAACAGATTGGAATTGACTGCAGGTGTCGTTCTCATGTTTAAGGATGAGCACCAACTTGTCTAGCCTGATGCATTTGCTACAGAAGTTTAAGTTTCTAAATGCTGCAGTTGAGGGGGAAGGAGGAGTAGCACAAGGAGTCGAAGCTACTGCAGTCATCAGAGCCCAGGCCATTTGAGGCGAGTCTGAACAAGGAGACATAGTTTCTACCATAGTGACAGGTTCCAAAACCTTCAGTCAGGCACCAGAGTTGGCATCAGACTACCCAGTGAGTTACAAAACCACCAAGACCAGTATTGTCTCCTAGCAACTATGAAAATGTATTGACAGCTCAGAAGAAAAACATCTCAGCTGAGAGTTACAAATCCAAGTTCTTCCTCAGATGCTTCATGATGCATTATAAGAAACACGTGGCACTACTTCATGTGACTGAAAATGAACGTTCCAGTTCGCAGATGGCATCTGTGCATCAGATGATCTTACAGAAGGCAGCAGAGATGAAAATGAAGGTATATTAGTGAATATAAAGAAATTTAAGCCATAGCAGAAATACTACCTGATCGATGTCTGGTTTTCTTGAATGGGCACACCAGAGAAAGTTTTCTTTCTTGATAAATATTCTTCGACTTTTTGTCGCCTTTGTTCTAGTGGGTTTTAAAAGACACACTCATTACATTTTCAGCTAAAATGGTAATGACAAACTTTGATTCTTAGTAAAAAAAGGAAATGCAATCAGAAAAGCATCAAGACATTATGAAATAGAGACATTATGGATTAAGAAAGTTTTTACTTTAATATTCACATCACAATGTCTTACACATTTATTTCTTGAGAAAGGCTATATTCAAGGGGCGCTTGAAGTGTAATTTCACAGCTCTACAAGTTGGTTGTTTTGCTGTGTTAACCCAAAAGAAACACAGTTATTTGATGGGAAGAAGTCAGGCTCACTCTTATAAGCAAGCACACTTTTCATCTGTGGCAGTAATAAGTATAGCACACATGAAAAACACCATGGACATGAACCGAAGTGACCATCTGTAAAATCGTTTGCTTATCTTCCACTGTCAGCTGGGCATCAGTACAAATGTTGGACTAACAGGAGTGTCAGTAACAGCACAAAGTGATCCTGAATAGGTCCTAAGATAGCTGGGACTGTCTCTCCAGGGACGGTGCCTCCACCACTTCCCTGGGCAGTCTATTCCAATGTCTAATCATCCTTTCTGTGAAGAAACTCCTTCTAGTGTCCGACCTCCCGTGGCACAGTTTGAGACTATGTCCTCTCGTCCTGTCACTAGTTGACTGGGAGAAGAGGCCAACCCCCACCTGGCTACAACCTCCTTTCAGGTAGTTGCAAGAAGTGATAAGGTCCCCCTGAGCCTCCTCTTCTCCAGGCTAAACAACCCCACCTCCCTCTGCTGCTCCTCATGGGACTTGTGCTGCAAACCCTTCACCAGCTTCGTTGCCCTTCTCTGGACAAAGTTTAAAAAAGACCGTGTACACCATCTGCTTCTGAAGACGCTACAGCAGAGATGCACCTGCCAAGAGATGCTGCATAGCAGCAAGCTCAGCAAGCATCCCAAAGCCCCCCCAGCACCTTCTGCTTTGGAAACTCAGCTCTCACCGCCCTTCGCACAAACAGCAAAGCTCCATTCAGAACAACTCTGTTGCTTTAACTTGCAGAAGCCAAACCGTTCAGAAAGTAAATAAACAAAAGAGTACGGATCTAGATCAGCGGCACATTTGCTGGTTTCAGTGGGACGCTCTTACATTAGGGCGTCTCTTTCATCATGAGGGAAGGCTTCTACCCCAGGGGCCCTGCCTGGGGCAGGGGATGGGATGATAGGGTGAGGTGTGGGATGCGATGGGGCGCGGTCTGCACCGGCCCCAGCGCTGTCAAGGGAGGGTGAAGCCTCGTACGCCCGCTCGCACCGGCCAGAAGCTCTAAGACCACGACAGCGAGCGCTGCTGCTAAGACCTGCCGGTCGTCGACCTCGCCTAGGGTGCCTTCCCTTGCCTCCGGCTTCTCGGGGAGAGCGACCAGCTCCCTGCTCCCACCGGCTCCCCCGCCACCCGCCGCGGCCACGCGCGGGGCCGTAACGCCGAGCGGTAACGCTCAGCCCCGCGCGGCCGGCCGGTATCGGGCAGCGTGTGTTGCGGGGGGCGGCTCAGCCCATCGGTGCCCCTCTCCCCCCCCCGCCCCCCCCAGTATCCCGGCCGTACCTCGGAACGCGGGCTCAGACCTGCGGCTGGTCGGGAGCAGCGAAACCGCGCGCGCTGCCATGGCCGCCGGCAGCGAGCGTTTGAATCATCCGCCGCCCGGCAGGGCCGTGCTGATTGGCCGGGCCGCGGGACTTGAACTGGCCAATGGCGAGTGGGAAGGAGGAGTGGGGCGCGGCCTTCCCGTTCCGCCGCGCGGCGGGGGAACATGGCGGCCGCTCCTCGAGCCGCCGCCAGAGGGCGCGGGGCGGCCGCGCACGGTCCCGACGCGCCTGGCGGCTGCGGGCGGGGAGCGGCCGCCGCAGCTCGGTGAGGCCGAGGAAGGGAAGGGCGGCCATGGACAGGTTCTCGTGGACCACGGGGCTGCTGGAGCTGGGGGAGACGCTGGTGGTCCAGCAGCGCGGCGTGCGCCTCAGCGACGGGGAAGAGAAGGTGACGGGGGCGGCCCCGCGCGGTGCCTGGCGGCGCGGCAGAGCCCGAGTGGGGAGGAGGCCGCAGGCCCCGGGCAAGGGGGCGGCAGAGCCGTGAGTGTGGGTGGTGTCGAGCGAGGGCGCGACATGAGGGGTGTGAGGGCCTGGGCTGCTGGCGGAGCATCGGGCGGGAGCTTGGGAGGACATTCTGCACCAGAGTCTGGAGGGATTTATGTCCGTGAGGAGATTGTTAGGGCGGAGTTCAGGCTCTGGGAGCCGGCTGAACATGAGCTAGCAGTGTGCCCAGGTGGCCGAGAAGGCCAGTGGCATCTTGGCCTGTATCAGCAGTAGTGTGGCCAGCAGGACTCGGGCAGTGATTATCCCAGTGTACTCGGCACTGGTGAGGACACACCTCGAGTCCTGTGTCCAGTTCTGGGCCCCTCAATTCAGGAAGGACATTGAGGTGCTGGAGCGTGTCCAGAGAAGGGCAATGGAGCTGATAAATGGTTTGGAGCACAAGTCCGATGAGGAGCGGCTGAGGGAGCTGGAGTTGTTTAGCTTGGAGAAGAGGAGGCTCAGACCTTGTTGCTCTTTACAACTACCTGAAAGGAGGTTGTAGTCAGGTGGGGGTCGCTCTCTTCTCCCAGGTAACTAGTGACAGGACAAGAGGACATAGCCTTCAACTGCAGCAGGGGAGGTTTAGGTTGGGCATTAGGAGGAGTTTCTTCACAGAAAGGGTGATTAGACATTGGAAAGGTGGTGCAGCCACTGTCCCTGCAGGTGTTTAAGAAAAGACTGGACATGGCACTCAGTGCCATGGTCTAGGTGACATGATTTTGGGTCATAGGTTGACCTCGATGATCTCAGAGGTCTTTTCCAACCTAACTGATTCTATGATTCTGTGAGAAAGGCCTTGGACAGTGTGTGCTACATGGAGGGAGGGTTGGGAGCCCCACAGGGTGTGCTGGCATTGCTGTCACAAAGCACCTTCCACCGCTTGAGCTGTCAGGGCCGAGCCTTCCCTGTGTTGCCCTACACAGTGACTTTGGTGTCATGTGCGGGGCCTGATGCACAACTCGCACTGGAGTTGTCCTGGTAGCTGCAAAATGCACTGGCGCTCTGGTCATCAAGGGTACTGACCCTTCATTTGTCTGAGCCAACCTGCTTATTGCCTTGTTTTACTGCTGGACCGACTCTTGATCTCTCCATTTTCCACACCACAGCAGTTGCACGCTCTCACAGAAAGCTGTAAAAGTGTGCATCAGATTTTACAAGTAGAAAGCAATTTGCTAGCACAGATTTTCCAGATACTGTTTGCTGTCTGATAAATAAAGAGCTTTTCAACAGTAAGATGGATAGAAACAATACTCCTGTGTGATAGAATGGAAGATTTCAGACTGTGTGTAGCACCTTCTTAGAAGGTTGTTTAAATGTTTGTATATCTTGCACAGTATATGGAGGGAGGATCCCTTAGGATTTCCAGGGGACAAAGTTTATACCCATTAAAAAGGAAGTTTGTGTATATCTAATCCCTTTATACTTATTTTCTCCATTGTTTCCTAAACTTCATGTATTTTGATTTCTGAAAAAAAGGGGAGGTGTTCTCAAAATATTGGCTCGTTGAATCTGATTGCTATGTCTAGTAAGGTGTAATGTTTCCAAGATCAGTATTTATGCAACTTACTGGTTAAATTTGTTGTTGATCTGTTTTATTTTTCTGGTTTAGGTGAAATTTGATAGTGGAGTTTTACTGCTTAGCACGCATAGACTGATCTGGAGGGATCAGAAGAATCATGTAAGTCCCACTTTTGTCTCCTGTATGTCATTTAGCTGTAAATTCCATCATAAACTACAAGTAGATTGGAATGAAAAAACTGCACACAAAGAGGAGATTTTTCCTTCCTTTGTGCATGTTTTCTTTTACAAGTATAGTCAGTTTTTTGGCTCATAGGGGAAAGAAAATTATGTGGAGGAAAGTTCTTTGACCCAGTTCTGCTTTAATAAAATAACCATGCAGACATGAGAAGGGATGTGAATGAATCCTACAAACTTTCCTTTTCTTTGGCACAAAAATAAAGGAGCAAGGAGCCTGGTATCATGCACTAAAAACCATTGGTTTTGAGACTGAAGTTGAATATGTCAGGCAAATCATAACATCAAGTTCTCTCCCATGCTCCTTGTCTAGGAAGACCTTTTCTTCCTCATTGGTTTCAAGTTCAAGTTTCCCTGTCTTCTGCTCCCACCGTATAGTCCACGACTGTGATTTGATAATAGGATGTGTTTGGTGGCAGTATTATTTTGCACAGGTCTGTCCCTCCCAGCTGCCTGTTCCTGTGCTGAACCGTCTCTTCAGTAAGCCAGAACACTTGTCCGTACTGCTGTGGACAGTTAGTTGGAGGTTAAGTAGCACTGTCAGAACTACAGTGTGGTAACATTGCTGCTGAATGCTTTGTATCATCAACCCACAGCCTGAGATTGCAGGCTGGAGGTGAGTGAGAAAAACTACAAACACATACAAAGCTCTAAGCATCGGCTGTGAAACATGCACCACACTGCAGGTGCAATTGAAGGAGAAGTTGAAGTCCTCAGACCAAGTTGGATTATGCTTTTGGACTCAGTAATTTCGAAATTTAACCCTGGAAGCCAAAGTTTAGACAGCACATTCAGGTGACATCTTTTCAAAGGCGAATTATATTCTACTGGGCTGGTTTTGTGCAAGGGTAGCACAAGCACCTCTCCCACCCAATGGCTGTTCCCTACCACGTATGCACATCCTTACTCCAAAGCAGGTAGCTACTAAGAGCCTTCTGAAGGCAGTGTCACCAAGAATGTTCTTAAATTTGGCAAAACAATATGTTCTTTTTCTCTAGGGGTTGTTTGCAGGAATAGTAGAAATATTTTTGGTACAAATGTCTCAAAATGCCCAGGGTGGGGTTACTGTTCACAAGTCAGGAGTTGATTGTCCAGTTTGTGAGCTGTTCTGCATAAATTAACTGTGCTTTTTGCACAGTCAACATGAGTTTGTGCTAAACCATGTGTTAATCACTTCTTATTTCTTCATAAGCATCTCTTTTTGAGAGGTGACCATGTACTGCAACATGCAGTGCTTCTAATCTTCTCACTTGAACTTTGTGCTTGCTTGAAGTAACATTAGACATAATGACTTCAGCAACTCTTAGAACTGATCATATCCTTATTCTCTCCTTTCCAACAAAAGAATGACATCTCTCTCTTTTTCCCAACTTCTCCCTCTGCTCCTAGGCCACACGATTTCCTGTACTCTTTCAAGATCATTGAATTTCCTAAATCAGCAGAGGAGAACCCTGGAGAATAAGGAAAAAGAATTATTTGAACTGAGCAAAGATTCTGACAAGCTCCAGGCTTGATTAACAGAAGGGGCAAAAACATGTCCCAGAGGCTGACAAGAGTTACCCAGTTCTGATTATGGAGATGCAATGAACTTTGTTAGTATGGTAAAGAAAGTTGACTAGTTTTCAGGCTCTCGCGACTGAAACATGGGGAGCACAGTGCCCTTTTATTTTCATGGTGAACTGTTGCCTAAGCTCAGCTGTGGTGTAATATCAGACTTAGAAACCTTAGCTAGCTTGCCTGGAATAAACTTGTAGAGAGTCCCCTTCTATTGTGTCAGAAAACTTTAATAATAAATGGGGCACTTGTTCTTAGGTGAACATAGCAAACCTTCTGACAAACACAGACAGCTGTGTTTTACAGGTGCTGTTTCTATATACCATCTGCAGTTGAACAGGATAGAAAATACAGTGATTTCAAAAAAAAAAAAAGGAATTCTGTAACATTTGTTACGTAGATATGTTTTGTACAGCATTTTAAATGATTAAATCATGCATAATGTGAGCGTGAGACATTAGAAAAAAGATTTCCAAATAAACACACAGCATTTTTAACAGATTTCTATTTTCGTATTCCTTTGTCTAGTTCTCTAATGAGGAAGGAGTCATTGTAAGCCCTTGTGCTTACAATGAGTTCATAACTTTCTAGATGTGAACTAAATGAATCAATCATTTTGACAGTGTGCATGCTATATATAGTTGAACTTTTTGTTGTTTTCAAATTGTTTTTTTAACAGAAGTATCATATTGCATGTCTTTAAGGTGTCCAGAATTTTGTGGGTATTTTACAAACAGTAACTGTTCTACATAATGGCTACAGAAACTGGAGCCATAGAAGAATCTGGGTAACTTTGCATAAAGAGTTTTTAAGAACAGGAAATACAACCCATGTTTTTGCCAATAAGAGATCTACTTATTAGTTGGAGTTCCTTCATGTATACTCACCTGATCTCCAATGTAATGGTTATTTAATTATTCCATGTAAAGAGGAACAATTTGGTAGTAGGGGTTGAGAGGGCCCTCTTACAGTGTTCATTGTAAAGTGGTGCTAGGCACACCCTCATGGCAGATGGAAAAGAGAGGTCCAAAGAGGACTTGCAACCTGTGTTTCCTTTATTCTGTGTGACTGTGTCACTCACCAAGCTGTTGTGTGGAAAATTATGTTCACCAAAGGATGTTCACAAAAACAAGACCGGGCACCTAATTAAATGCTTTGAATCATTCCCGTAGCAATTTCTGTCTCAGATGCATATTTTAACTTAGTCTCTGATAGATGGATACAGTCTTGTTTCTTGCTCTTCTTTGTTTTGTCTAAAGCACAGTCCAGTAAATGTGTGTTGAAATGCATCAAGCACTGGATTTGGTCCTTCAATGTAGGATAAATTGAAAAATTTGTATTGCACTCAGACAATAGTCTAGTGTTTCAGAGATTCAACATTTAGAAGGCTGCTGATTTTGGGTATTGCTTTAGCTCCCAAATAAAATCAGTGCAAAAATGTTAAGAACCTATGGGTATTGTGCACCTACAGGGATAAGATACAGTAGTGTGTCAATTTTAGTGTTTAAATTTTGAACTTGGAAATTCAACAAATCTTCAGATCTTAGTCCACTTATGAATCTACTTTAGGTTTTTAAAGCTGACACACTGACACTTAAATTTGTTAGTTGTTTTTTTTTTATTAACTAGAACTCAGTTTCAGTTTTATGTTATTTTTCTACATATATTTCTCTTTAATAGATTGTTTCTATTGTTACCATCATATTTCATGTCGAGTGCCTCAGGCAGCACCTGTAGAAATCGGTACCGTCTGTGAAATGGGGAAAGACAACACTTGGGTTTAGAGAATGAGTAGTCAGGGTATAGCTTTAATTTCACTAATGCTTGTGTTGTTTGTTCCAGGAGTGCTGCATTGCTGTACCTCTGTCTCAGATCGTGTTTATTGAAGAGCAATCATCCGGGATAGGAAAAAGGTAGGGTGGTTGTCACAGTCCTTTTCAGATGAATACTTTGCATATGCATTTTATGTGAGGTACCCAATATTATATATTATTCGTGGTAAGTTCCATTTGCAATCTAAATTTGCAGATTGACAGCCACAATGACCTGCTTTCCTCATTTGAGGTCAGATGTGTAAGAGAGTCATGACAAAGCACTGTTTGATGTGATTTGTTAGATAACTGTCTTGTAATCATGAACGAGTATATGTTTTAGCATGCCATTATTATTTGATTAGTCATAAATGACAACAGTGATTTTGCTGGATCTAAATTTGAAAGCTAATATTAGTCCTTTGTGCCACAGAACTCTTTGGGAATAGCAGCTTTGACAGATTCCATATTATATGACTTTTCATAACTGTATGATTGATTTTGAGCATGGAAATGCTAGTGATGGTTAGAAGGAACTCAAGCGTTTCCAGTGAGTGAGTAACTAATTCAGTAGGTATGTGCATAAAGGAGTGTATAAGCCAGCAGTGTGCTCAGGTGTCCAAGAAAGCCAATGGCATCCTGGCCTGTGTCAGGAATAGTGTGGCCAGCAGGGCCAGGGCAGTGAATATCTCCCTGTACTCAGCACTGGTGAGGCCACGCCTTGAATCCTGTGTTCAGTTCTGAGTCCCTCACTTGAAAAAGGCATTGAGGTGCTGGAGTGTGTCCAGAGAAGGGCAACAAAGATGGTGAAGGGTTTGGAGCACAGGTCTTATGAGGAGCGGCTGAGAGAGCTGGGGTTCTTTAGCCTAGAGAAAGGACACTCAGGGGAGACCTTATTGCTCTCAAGTAACAAGTGACAGGACAAGGGGAAATTGTGTCAAGTTGTGTCAGGGAAGGTTTAGATTGGATATTAGGAACTTCACCCAAAGGGATGTCAAGCATTGGAACAGGCTGCCTGCGGAAGTGGTGGAGTCACCATTCCTGGAGGTATCTTAGGGACATGGTTTTTTGGTGGACTTGGCAGTGCTCAGTTAACAGTTGGACTTGATGATCTTAGAGGTCTTTTCCAACATAAATGATTCTATGATTCTAAGTTTCACAAGAAAAAAGAGGAAAAACATTAACTGGAAAAATACATACATAGCTGACATCTGCTTTCAGCCTACAGTCAGTTTGGTATGCTGAGGATATCCAGAAGAAATCAGGTAATTCACTAATGCTGGAGAAGTCAAGTAAATACAGACCAATGCAAAGAGTATCAGTAAAATGAGATGGGAATGGCCAGCTTGCAGTCATGTTGTGATAGGAGTCTGTTAATGTTCCTAAAATAATATTATCTGAAAGTTTGTTTTGGTGGTGTCATTTTAGACTGTTATTTCCATGCATGTTACCTTTGAATGTTGATTTTGGACAAATTCACATACAGTGTTCACAAGTGACATATGCCAGTGGAATAGGTTAAACATAAAATTGAGACCTTCTGTTTTCCTGTGGCAAAGACAGTATATTTTGGCTTTTGACTTGCAATAACTACTGACAAATGGAATGACAACAATGAGATTTGTCAGAAATAATTACTTGAAATTTTAAAATTTGTTGTGCTTATTTCTGAAGAACTGATGGTAGGTACATTTTAAATTTGTGCAATATTGCTGTTTCAGATGGTATAACAGTTTTTATGCAAGATCTGCTTAGTCAAAATATTTAAATGTTGATGGACAAATGTAAAGCATTTGTTCATGCACTTTAGCTCTTTATGTGAGATAAAGTTAAAAGAGGTTTTGATGAGATGGTTAACTTTGATTGTAGAAATAATTTTTTTAGATATTACAGAGATTTCTTCTCTTTCCTTTACCTTTTTCTTAGTGCCAAAATAGTAGTTCATCTTCACCCTGCTTCTTCAAACAAAGAACCTGGTCCATTCCAAAGCAGCAAATATTCCTATATCAAGCTTTCTTTCAAAGAACATGGGCAGATTGAGGTAAGTTTTATACCATGCAAGCCAAGCACATCAGATATTTGGACATGCTTTTCTCCTCTTGCTGTGTTAGTGATAATTTTCCATGATCTTTCCGTGTTTACTTTTGAGGTGGAGCTTTTTCAATACATCCTTTTGGAAGACAAACACTGCAAGTCTTCCTTATTCAATACTTTGGTTAAATGATGCAAATAGAGTTCAAAAAATGTCAAGAGCCATTATTAGGCTTTATCCTTACTTCAGTGGTTTTAGTATAATCTTACAATTCTTTTTTTTAATCTAGTAAATTGAACATAGGATTTTCCAAAATGACATCTCTGAAATCTGTTAAATGTTTAACAGAGTAAAAGATGTTTCTGTGTAGCTACCTCTCTACTGAACAGGAATCAGACAACTTAGTCATCTCTCTAATTTTATTGCTGAACACTTTTTGTTGCCTCAAAACTTTTTCATTTTATGCTTTATAAATCTCTTTTTTTTTTACCTACACCAAACCTCAAAGGCTCTGAGCATTCTAAGAAAATTTTAATATATTTTTAAAACAAGTCTCATCCTAAAAGACAAAGAAATTACACTCTGTAAAGAAATTTCACAGTGTAAGATCCTCATTTGAAGAGACTGAGAACTTTAACTTCAAACAATGAAAAAAACTGTACCTGTTCACTACAGAAAATCAGATTTTCATTGAAGTAATTAAAAATACCCTATAAATGCATGTATGGGATCAGACTCACTTTCATTTCTTTATGAGCAGTTTTCAGATTAACAACAGTAGATTTATGCATAGTTGTAATTGTATGGGTGTTTTGCCTAATCATAACCTTATTTATTTTAATGTTAGATTTGTGTCTGAAAATTAAATTTACTATGCTTACTGGTTCCCAGCATATCAATTACACCCCAGCTTTTCTTTAACTTCAGAACACTTTCCTGTGAACCTGAACAACCATAAGAATGGAATAGATTTTCTTTCTATTTATTGGTCAGTGGGATACACTAAGTGTTAAGTATTTAACTAATGCCACCTTCTGGTATTAACAATAAACATATAAGTGTAATTGATCTGTGTGGTTGTTTTTATATTGTTGAATTAACAGATCAGTAGTAATTGGATTGTTCAACTTTCCTTCCTCTAAAAAGCATGCCTTTGAGGAAACCTCAACATTTTTAACTTTAGCATGGTTTGGAACATTTTGAATATCTGAAAGAAATATTTTACAATAGAAATACTTATATGAGTTGAACTAGTGATTACATAGTTCCTACTCTGTGTATTTTTGAAGACTGGACATTAAGAATTTCCAGATAATGGATGTTGTACTATGGGTATGTAGGTGTTACCACATTTTATCTTATAGTGAAGTTTATTTTATCTACCACTGGGTAAAAATACCCAGAGGTACACTGCACAGTTTATGGAATGTCTGTTGTCACTCTTTAATGTTTGCAGTTCTATAGGCGATTATCAGAAGAAATGACACAAAGGAGATGGGAGAGCATGCCTACTGGTCAAGCCATGCAAGTTAACAAGGATCCACAGGTATGTGCAGAGCTTCTGAGCAGCATCTGTATGTAATTTCTTGTTTCCATTTCTTGCTGCCCCCCTATACTGCATCCAGCATGCCTCTCTAACCAACATGATGGGCACGTGGCAATTCAGCTTTACTTCGCTGGCATAAATTAGTTTCTGCTTGGCAGTTTGCACCTGATAGAACACAGCGGCCTCTCTTGAGTTTGTTTAGACTAGAGTAGTTGATCAGACATGCATACACATAGTTATGCAAATACAATATATCTACTTGCATATAATTTTATTTAGCATCAGACATCTAATGAAGCTGCAAGATTTTTAGTCTTAATTGCAATTTCTGGGTTTTTTTTGTGACTGGATATCAAATATATAATATGTAACTTTGAAACCTGTGTATATTTGATTTAAATGAATATTCTAAATGGACAGTTGTTATAGAAAATGCTAAGTGGTTAGATTACCCTCTTTATTTGTCTGCATACTTCTAGGTTATAAACTCTGATAAACATGTAGATGTTGTTTCTCTATATGAATATGTTGCATATATGAACATACAGTACTGTATGAATGGAATAAAATGATTTAAAAATTGTTCAACATCAAATCTCGTTGGTACTCCTTGGCAAATGTAGTACCTATAAGCACAATTGCATTTGGACTAATGGGGAAACCTGTACCCTGCATGAAGAATCTAATGAAAATACCTTACCTCTTGTTCTTAGGTCATAGCAACTCATTAACACCAGTGCTAAGCCTTGTAGTCAGAGATTTGAGGGCTGGCACCACTGGTACTTAAGTACCAGCCCTTATAAAACACATTTGGTATCTAGTAAAAGTTTCACCATCACCTCCATGCTGGTACTTCTCAGCAAGGTAAATCAGACTGCACTTAGCATTGTGTTTCTATGTCTGTGTTTCTTCAGGCTCGATTTCTTGAGGTAATCATATTTAGATACACTCAGGCATTTCCACAGCTCTAGTAATGTGTGTTCACATGGACTCGAGAGGCTACAGTTGAGATGAGTCGGAATACTCTGTCTGGATCAGGCTATTAAATTTCTTCATATTAATAGCTTCAATATAATAACGTAATTTTCTGTCTAGTATAGCAAATTTGTACATGTTTCACACTTATTGTTGTTTTTTTTTAACTCTGGTTTAAAAAAATACTGTCAAGAAATGTATGAAATATTGTATGTATGAATGATATCTGTTCTTTGGGGGAACATTTCCTGTCCTCTAATTTTCACAGTGAGGCAGATGAGAAAATTTAATATTTCTTATTTTGATTCCTTCTTTTTTTTTTTTTTTTTTTTTTTTAGGCAGGAAGAATAAGGGCTGTAGGAATTGTAGGGATTGAAAGGAAATTAGAGGAAAAAAGAAAAGAGACTGACAAAAACATTTCCGAGGTAGGTACTTCTGAATTTTCAAGGTCAGCCACCTGTCTGAACCATTTACATTCATTCACACTTTCTTTTAGGGGCAGGAGCATCTGAGACTATTTGTTTCTTTTTGTTGAGAATCTGAATTGATTGAATGTATTATTTACATTTACTTATTTTGTTTAACTGGCTTGTCAGTGTAACTTAAACAGTTCTTTCAAAAAGACTGTTCTTTGAAACTAAGTGTCTATTTATAAAATTAATTTTGGTAGAATTAGAAATCTGAGTTCAGTGACTGTTCATCAGGGAAAGAACACAAATACATGTCCAGAAAGAGTCTGTACGTGTCTGAGGGGGGGTTTCTTTCCTTGTTTTTTTTTTTTTAACACTAATTTTGGTTTCAGTTGAGAATTTAATACATATTAAGAATATGCTGGTCCAAGCATAACTGTGGTGAAGTTAGGTTTTCATCTTATACATAATTATTTTTTTAGAAGTTAGATTTAGGATTATGATTACAGTAAAATGATTTGGAGTCCAGGCATTAACAAGACATTACAAGTACATTTTGCAAAACACCTGGGCTAGATAGAGACCATCCTTTTCCCTAGAAACAGCACAGTAGTTGAATTCCAGATATCATTACTGATGGACAACAGAGGCATTTAATTTCTTCATATATACCTGAAAGCAATATCCTCAAAAACAGTCTGATTCTGCTTGGTGGTAGAGATTAATACAGAAGTACTCATAAACTACATGCAACAGATTTGTTCTTGTGGCAAAGTTCTGTGGGATTCAACGTGCCATGAGAAAAAAGGCCATTCCCTGCTCTAATACCTAAGAAAATGATTTTACCTTTGCAGGCCACATGCTGTTTCCGATACTGGTAGCACTAAACTTTTTTGCTTTCTGTCTGTGAGGAATGTAATGAATGAAGTTTTGTGTAGTTCAAAAGGTATTGTGGTTCATGCATGTGTATATAGTTCAAAAGGTATTGTCTGCTTATTTTTTCCTTTAGTAGCTTTGTTGGAGACTAAAAGAAATCCATTTGTATGTGTTGTACGAACAGAGGAAAGCTGTGACTTGTAAAATCCTGCCTTCCTCCAGCTTTAAATGTTATAAATGACTTAATTTAAAAAATGGTGCCCTGGCTTCCAGGAAAAGGCTTCCTGCATCTGCTGTTCAGTGCTGATAAGAAGCCAGTTCTTTAGCCTTTTGTTTATCTGAGGAAGTTCCTGTTAGGTGTGTGCACATTCCCCTTTGTTTCCAGGCCTGCCCTCTGTGAGTCAGGCAGAGGAGGAGTTAGACACAGCAGTGCTCTTTATTTAGCTAAATCAAGGGTTCTTTTCATGAATGATGTTTTCATGCAGGTATAGAGATTAGAAATAAGATGGGAAAAGCCTTGGTAGAAAACTTGTTGATACCATTTACAAGTACAGTAGAAGGACGTTGATTTACACCAGAGATTGAGAAATCTATTGTAAATTATTGCATTTGGCAGATTAGGGAGTGAAGAAATACTCCAAAGAGAAGCTCTTGTTCTCCTAGTGGTAAATTGTTGTTCTACGGTGGTATATTTTCTTTTCTGCCCTTGAACCTAGGTGTGTCCCATTAAACTCAGGTACCAAGTCTTAAGAGGCTGAACTTCTCCAGTCAGTGGAGAAACACTGGCACCATTAGGAGGTGTTCAGATCAAAAGCAAACCCTGTCCCTTCCTAGAAGCATCTCCTTTTCTTGTTTGCATGTTCAATCTCAAACCAGTAAGCTTCTAAGTAAGGCACCTAAATGCAGATGGGAACAATTGAGTCAAAATGCTGCTAAAATGTGTCTTTCTAGTGGGGGATTAGTCAGAATGAGCCAGGAATAACAGAAGCAGTGACTAGAAGCTGTAGGCAAGGTAGGTATCTGGTCATTTGACATACTCTAACTGAACAACCTTCTTTTCTTGTGACTGGAGGGCTTGGTGCTGCTGTGTAGCAGGCAAAGTTTACCTGAAAAGGTTCAGGAATTTTTCTCACATTAGTTGTTCAAAAAAGATTGTTTGAAAAGGTTGACCACCTGGACATGTCATGTATTTGAGAGAATGTGTGTTGATGAGGATGGGAGAACAGAGTCACTTGTTAATATAGGTGCATTAGTGGTGTTGTTAGGTCTTTTTTTTTTTTTAAACATGAATTTTTTAAAGCTAGTTGGTTTTCATTACTAAAAGTTTTGAATTTCAGTACACTTTCAGCTAGTTTTAAAATATGTTTTATTTAAGCCTAAAATACCCTTTGTGTGCTGTTGTTGGAGTTGTTTTTGAGACCATAGCAGTTTACTGTGACATTCAAATGAAAAGATGTTGCCACACATTTTTAGAGGTTTTGTCCCTTCAGTTAAGCATACACATGAAAACATATACCCTCTTCCTTGCTCACTTGAAATGACTGTTTCTTATTAACTTAGTAACATCTACTGATTAAAGTAAAATCATCTTGTCCAGAGGAGTACATCTGTATCTTTACATCTGGCTTGCTGCCAGAAACAATAGATCTTCCTGAGAGAGTTACCTGGTGGAAGAAAACTTGCCATCACCACCAAGAAACATTCCCCCAGTTTATAGGAGAGCATAATAAACTTCAACAGTTTAATCTTTTCTCAGTATCTCATTGTTCCTTCCTATTGTGGACTTCATAAATCATATTGAACTACTGTTTGCATACTGGAAAAATGTGCAGTTGTTTGATTCTCTTCTTCATTCTCTGTTGTTTATGTTTATTTTAGTTAAAAGACCTGACATAAAATAGATGCATCAACAAATTATATTTGATATATCATACTGTAACATACTGACCTAAAGGGATAGCAGCTTTTATGAACAGCTTGGATAGGTGTACAACGGCAACTTCCTGTATCCATGAAGATAAATTACACTGATCTGCATTGTCTGCTTTTTGTTTCAGGCTTTTGAGGATCTTAGCAAACTAATGGAGAAGGTATGTATGGCATGTGTCACTTGTCCAAGTAGACTTATGCTTGTTTTCTCAGTTTCAAGCATACTTTTCTCTGTCGAGCTGAAAGTTGACTTATCTATGTGTCTTTCTTGACAGGCTAAGGAAATGGTGGAATTATCCAAGTCAATAGCTAATAAGATTAAAGAAAAACAAGGTGACATCACTGAGGATGAGGTAAATGAATTTTATTTTTTAAAGTTAACAGAAATGTGCCTATGACAAGCAAAAAGCTATCTATTAATTGCATGTAATGTTAATAAAAACCACTTCCTGGTTGGTTTCTTTGTGTTTTGGTCCCTTCTTGAATTTATTATTTTAGTGTTAATTTTTCTTTTAATGCTTCTTAAACACAAGGATTTTACTGGGTTTGTACATTTTTTTCTATTTTTTGACCTCTGCTGGTCAAAAAAAAATTGTGTAAAGTCTTGCCTTCTCTTTGTTAGCAATTTACTTTTTTGGTAGTAAATTTAAGGATTTATTCACAAAAACTGCCTTATAGTAATAAAATCAAAGACTTTTAAAAACCAGAATCATTCACTAGCTGATGTACTTGTAAATTTATCTGTTTACTCTTTCAGACTATTAGGTTCAAGTCCTATCTACTGAGTATGGGTATAGCTAATCCAGTTACTAGGGAAACATATGGATCGGGTACACAGTACCACATGCAACTGGCAAAGCAACTAGCTAGAATGCTGCAGACACCATTAGAGGTAAAGTACTTCATTTTGCACCAGCATTTTCTCTGTGTTGCTGAATTTCAATGTAAACATGTTTTGGCTGTAGTGCTGTGCCTCTTTTTAAAGTCTCAAATCTTGCGGCACAGACTCATATTCAATGTTTATGGAAGGAATATATATCCTCTTTTTGAATGTTTAAATATACGTAAGAATTTGCAGAATTCTTCTATTTACAAAATATCAGTGAGACTTAAAAAGTTGTACAATTGCTCTTTCTTCTATTTGAACAGCCCTGCATTCATCTCTTGCTGCAGAATATAACGTTTTTAAAATAAAGTGAAATGACACTGACTGAAAATACAAGTAATAAGTCTTTAAACTGCTTAAAATTTACATATTTTGCAAATATAAGACAGAATTATTAAGTAGATTACGTGCCCTTAGTAATATCTCCTGGTTTAATTTATCTGAAGCTATTACAGAATTCAGGATTCTCACCAAAAAGTTGGATTTCATGTTGCAACTTAAAAGACTATGTTCCTACTGAAAAACATACATGTTACAGTACTTTTGTGAAAACTGTGTGCTGCCTACTGTGATCAGAATGGAAAACTGAGTTTGTTTGAAAAGCAAAAATGGTAAATTGATTGATAGATTTACATATTGAAATTTCTTGTTCCTGTTTCATACACTTATTTTTAGCTTTAAAAGCAAAGTAATTCACAGTCTTTGGGTGTAGTGTTACTGTTTAGTATTTTAAACTGATTAGCGAAAGATACGATTTACCTCTTCAGTTTTCTCCATTCAGGCCCATCACGTAGCTCCTGTGTTTTACCTGTTTAATCAGTCACATATGACTGGAGATGCTGTGTTTACTGGATTAATGCTTTTGCTCTTACCAGTCTTGTGCTTAACACAGGAACGAGGAGGGATCATGTCGCTCACGGAAGTGTACTGTCTGGTGAATCGTGCGCGAGGGTTAGAGGTGAGAAACTGCTTTTGTTAAATATTTTATAACATGTACTTTTGTGATAAGGTAATTAAAGAAAAAGGGTAAAAATGTTCCCTAACAATTGCTCATTCTACCTGTCTAACAGCAAGAAGCGATCAGCCTTTTATTAAAATTAGGCTGTATTTACCTTTCTCCTTCTTCCATGTAATATTTATGTATCCTTTACTAGTTGTGATAATGTGTGCTGCTTTTTATAATACCATGTAAAAGGAAAAATCCATCCTTATCTGAAAAGAAAACTTAAAGGACAGAAACTACTAAAGAATGGTGAATGTTTTGGGGTTTTTTTTTACAAAATACAACAATTCTTTCTGTAAACAAGGCAAAAGGATTATTATAGAACACATAATAAAGGAACAGAAAGCAGCATAGAAGCCAAGAAAATAGACTGCACAAAAGAAAGGAAGAAAATTAACAATAAGTGTGGCCTGGTGTATTTTATAGCGTAGTTATTAAAACTGTTTGTTTTGGTGTTGTACTGTATACTTGAAATGCAAGCTGTGAATAAATATGTGTTACTATTTTAATAGTTGCTGTCACCAGAAGATTTAGTAAATGCTTGTAAAATGCTGGAATCACTGAAATTGCCAATAAGGTAAGAGCTTTACAGATTTATTTATGAAACGTGGCACTCAGAGGTCAGACCATGATGATTTAATATTTTACCTTTTAAAAAAAAATACAACAGCAACAAAAATCTACTACAAAGACTTGCTTAAAGGATGCTGCTGTATGCACCAATATCCACTCTACATCAAAGTACTAGTTTTTAGCTATGGTTCACTTCACTAGGAAGGCATTATTTGTTTCACTTCCAATATAATTTTTTCAGACTGGGAAAAGTGTTTAACCAAGACCAGACATATAGTCTGATCTTTTCAGTTTGTTTAGATTTTGAAGATGCTATTAAGCTTAAGTTCATTTTACAGCTTTTGTTTGGGGGTTTTTGGATTTTTTTTTTCCCCCTTTTGTAATGTGGTTATAGGTGTGGATGCATTAGAAATGTGACCATAGGTGATGTGCACGGGGCTTTTAGTTACTTTACTTCTCTTTTTTGATTTTAGGCTTCGGATATTTGACAGTGGTGTGATGGTGATTGAACTCCAGTCTCATAATGAAGAGGAAATGGTAGCTTCTGCTTTAGAAACAGTAAGTGTACTTCATTTTCCTTCCTGACCATACTAGGGAAAATTAAATACATTAGGTACAAAAACTCGAGGTACAGAATTTCCTTTTGAGGTTTCGAAATACAAAATATTCCACTTCCATATCTGCTAGAGTAATACTTAAATAGCACTTCTCATCTTCAAAGTTCAGTGCAGGCAATAAGTCTAGTGATTGCTTTCTCTTTAAGGAATAAATCACTTTTCCATCTCTTCTCAAACTTTATTAACCTAAAACCTTCCTTCAGATCTCTTGTGCAGTAGGATGAAATTCGTGGCAGGTATTGAGCACCTCATTTAACAGAAGCCCATTTCAGACACTGAACACGATGTGCTTGAAGGCAGTGGAAGCAGCTCTTAAAGGTTGATATAGGTAGTTGTTTGCTTTGGTTTTATTTCATAAAACAGTACATTGTATGTGTAACATCTTGCACTGAGTTTGCTGCTGTGATGAGCACTCAGTTGGAGAATATTGTGTATAAAATTAAGCTAGCTTCATCAGGAAAAAAATTGTATAAATTGTTCAGTGTCATAAACCTTTGTGGTCTTGCTGCCTCTGGACACTTTAAAGTCCTGTTATCCCATTATTTGATGCATTTTTCTGTGTCTTTTTCAGTGGAATGTAATTTTTTGATTTTCACACACTTGAGAAAAGGCTAATTCAGTATATCTCAGGTTAAATATTAAAGTCAAAGAGGGCTTTGTCTTGGGCAGTTGAGAAAAAGTAGAGCTATTGCAGGCAACTTCTCACTTGATATGAGGTAGACTCTTCAGTGCATTTTCCATGATTTGTTACCATATAGCTTTCACTCATCAAAAATATTTTTAGATAAGAGAAATGTATATAGCCATCTAAAAGATTCCATTCTGAATTAACAGAACTAAAATGCTTAAATATGTTAATATTTTCAGTTTATTTCCTTATATTTGCAGAAAAATACCTACTCTATTTTAGAGGTTTTTTTCTGATTGGTTTCTAAATATTTGTTGCCTTCAGTAAGAGTACTTATCTCTTTGAAAGGAAAGGAAAAACCTTTCTTGATAACAAGAAACTGGAAAAAGTAACAGATGGTGGATTTATTACCGAAGTGCCTTTTTTCTGTTATTTTCTTAATGTGAGACTTTGACTCCATAGAAAAATGTAAGGGAGAGACTTCAAATGAGGAAGGCTAGCCCATAAGGGAACAGGAAGATGAGATCAGAGTTGTGGCCAAAAGCACCCTGTACTTTCATGTTACTGTACATTATACATTAAGTTCTGAGAAGAAGTGAAAGGTTTCAGAGAGGGGAGAGATGTGATTTGAATGGCTAGTGAAGGCAGGAAATGACGTGGATGTCAAAGGAATCCAAAGTCACCCTTGATGAGAGTAGTGGTTTGGGAAGGAAAGATAATTAATCACCAATTGTATAGCTGACTTCCATTACTCAGATTTGATCACCTAGCTTCCTAAAATCTCATGTTAGGATTAATTTAATCTGAGTTTCTGTAAAATGACTACTGCTGAGAATGATGCACAAAAGACCCCTTCCCACCCAGTTATGTGGGAAGCAGGAAATGGCAACTACATCCAGAATTACAAGTTTGCATGAGTCTACAGCAATGTAGAAATGGAAGAATTAATTAATTTTTGGGTAATAAAACATGTTTATCTGGGAAATTCAATGCAGCAATAAGTCTAGACTTCATATCTAATATTTATCTAGCATTTCAAACATGCATACGTCCAACATGTGTGAGAAGGTTTCATTTTAGCATGTATTAAGTAGCATGGTTGAGACAAAGGGGCCAAAGTGTGGAGTCCCAAGACTGAACCAGTCCTTTGTATCAACTGAATGTGATGGTGGCTTTTACTTATCCCCCTAGTATGCCATAATATCATGTCAAGTACTAAGGTTTGGGGATTTTCCTATAGGGAGTGGTTATATTTTAAATTTTAAACTCAAATTCTTCACTTCTACCTGAGATGACTTCAATTTCTGCATTGATGACCTGCCCTGAACAGGTCTTTTATTTCCTTATTTAGGCTTTGGTGTTTGCAGAATCACTTAATATAGTTGGGCTGTGTAGATACTTATAGTGACAGTATACTGCTGTCTGAGCTATTCTGATTTTTCCATTCATTTTATCCCAAGGCATCTTTTAAAAAAATCCAAAGAAAAGGGTACCATACAATTTTTTTAGAGATCTAACTCTTTTCTATTGTCCTTTTTTATACTTGGCAATTTCCCCCAGGCACAAAATAGATATTTTTAAGGGGAAATAGTCATAATTAGTTGTACTTTTTAAAAATGTAAACAAACTAGTTTTCTTCTCAAGGGATTTGCTACCAATTTATCACTTCTCGAGGCTAGACCTGATTCAGTAGCTGAGAGAACTTTGTTGTTCTTTTAATGCTGTAGTTTGTTTATTTGTGTATTTGGTTTTTGACAGGTATCTGAAAAGGGTTCTCTCACAGCTGATGAGTTTGCTAAGCTGGTGGGGATGTCTGTTCTCTTAGCCAAAGAAAGGTAAGTAGTAATTGCTGTATTTAATACTTTAGTTACCATGTTGTCCTCAATTAATACAGCATGTCTTCTTTTGCTTTCTCTAGGCTGCTTCTTGCTGAAAAGATGGGCCATCTTTGCAGAGACGATTCAGTGGAAGGCTTGAGATTCTACCCAAATTTATTTCTGACACAAAGCTAATGTCATTTGTGTACAATTTTTTTATGTAACAGTTGAGAGCAGAGGGCAGAATCCTTCCAAGAACTGACTTAAATATTTTATTTTGTTAGTCAGCTGCAACAAACATGAACATTGCAATGCTTTACAGTTCTCAGGTATTTCAAGTGCTGAATCCTCTTACATGGAACTGAAAGGAAATAGAAATCACAAAGTCAGAAGCATGTCGATTGTCTCAAGCCAACTCGGTCATTTTTCACATTTTATTTGGTGTGCTCTGTAGTTTCAAGAGAATTCAGATGAAGATTGCACACAAGTGAGAGTGGAGAGAATATCCCTGTAGTCTTCCATGAGGGTCAGCACCCAGAAGACAGGTTACTGCGTACTCCAATTGCAGTTTGTTTATGTCTAGAGCAACAAAGCAGACAGATGTATCCGCAGTGATAAGGAAAGTCAGTTAAATGTGTACTGAGGTGTAAGGAACAAACCAGTGTAGAATAACCCTTTCTCCCTGACGTGATGAACAGTTTTCTAAGAGAGGATCTTGGGGATCTGTACTTTGATACAGAAAGAACTTGCTGCAGGAGAGATTATTGTATTTTATGTGAATCTAGAAATCATGGTGTTTATTTTGTCATATCTTATGCTAATAGCTCAGATAGAAACATTGTTAGCACAGACTTCCTCCCTTCTCTTTCCTTGCCATCCTCCTTCCTGTCAATTTATGTTGCACTTTGGGTGCCCTTTCTCTGCTCTAGTGGAGTGGAGCAGCCTCTTGTCACTCTTCCAGTCTCTGTGCTTTAATGGGCTTGGTTTTTATCTTGTAGTTTTTACAAAAGATCATTTGTTTGTTTCATCAGCCTGTCACCTGTTTTGGGGAGACAGTTGGTTTGCTTATCTCTCATATGTGAAAATTAATATGTTTTCAGTATTGAATGGAGGAAGAAGACTATCACCCTGTGCTTAATAATCACAAGGTATCATATTGTTTGGTATTCCTCACCCTGTGTTCACACTGAATGCAATTTGATAGCCTCAGTTTTCATAACTCCAGTGGAGTTGCTACACTACTTGAAGATCTGTTGTCATGATAACAGTTAAGTGGATGTTTATGATCCACATCACCTAATTTTTTGGCATTTTGAAGAGACGATTTTTAGTAAATAACAAAATTAATTCAAGGTATGGGCAAGGACAACATATAGGTAACTGCATTGTGGTTGTAATGGCCAAATCAACATTGCAAAAAAGGACAAAAAGGCTTTTAATAAGAGCCTGAAAATATTTTCAGAACTATTTCAGTGTTACCATAGCTCAGACATGGGTTAAGAGCCTGCCAATAAGGAGTAAAGTGCAGAGATCCCTACAGTGATGATGCCTAGGGTTTGTAGGATGCTCATTTAGATTCAGTGAATTGTGTCCTCTTGTCACAAGCAAACTTTAGTGCAGTGCTCTCTTTAGGGCAGTTTTCCTCTGCTCCAGGAGGGTGCTAAAACTAATGTGTTTGACACAGCTAAAGGAACCAGTTCCACATTGTTCTTACTGTGTTAACCCCTGGTATCATCTCTTTGGGGGCCTTACAGCTTGCTGCTTTTCTTCATCCTCTCCACAACCCACTGAATGTGAGGTACACTAAGATGACACTTCTAGGGAGGGACTGAAAAATGAGAAATTCAGATACAAAAAGCTTTTTGTGACAACTGTCTCTTCTGCCCAATACCAAACCTGTCATGGGAGACCAATGGTTTGTGGGCCTGAACCTCTCCCCACAAGGGGGCATGTCTTGTGCAGAAAGAATAAAACCTGAAAGGAAATGGAAAGTGTAAACTCCCAGCCTCTGTTCCTCCAACCTGTTTCGTTATCTTAATTAAGCAATAATAATACAGCCTATTTACAATAATGGTACCTTGTCAAGCTTTTCTTTCTCAATATTTTTCCTTGATTTCTTTTTCTACAGAGAAGAAATCTATCGGGTAAATTGTATAGCTGGTTTAGAGAAAAATGAGAAAATGACACATAAGAAAATGACTACTAGAAAGTAATAAAATTAAAACATTTTCTTAAACAGACTGTTCTGTTGAGTTTTTTTCTTTCTAAATATTTTAAGCAGCTTTAAAACCTTTACACATCAAAATCTTGTGGTTCCATGGGGCAGGTATTTAAAGCACAACTAATTTTTACTGTCTCACTTTGTACTTAAAAGGGTGCAAGATAGTTTTGATTTAAGGGCAGAATTAAATGTAATTAGAATGCCCTAGTTCTGTTGCTGAGTAGCCTGTGACCCATCCAAGCCAGAACAGTCAAGCTACAGATGTCTACAAAAGCACCACTTTCCTGAGGGAACCAGTCTGAGTTCGAGCCAGACATTTCACTGGGAAGGTGAAATGTGTTTTCCCAGCTGACATACAACAGAAATCATGTACCTGAAACCATACTGAGAGCCAGCTGTTGGGTGAACAATGGAGTGAGATGTTTACAGGAGTGTAGTACCATGTTAGTACGTGACAGTATCCTAAACTGTCATTGTCCAGTCCTGTTTCCTAGCAGGATTCTAGAAGAGGGGAAGATGTAGGAATTGCCATTCCTACAGTTTTAATACAGAGTGTGCATATATGAACCTTTCCTGGTTTGATTATTCCTAGAATATTTGTATCACAATATATGACCATTACCTCATTTTACCAGGGCTGCCCAAATACATGGTCCTTTGAACAGAAGTCTGCTCAAAAAGTGCTTGGCTTTTTATGGAGCAGTCTTGAATGATGATTATGTTTTTCATTTGAAAACATGGGCTTTTTTGTATCTGACAGGAAAACACTCCTCAGGAATCTGTACACCTTTTCCGTTTCTGCTTTGCCTTTGTTTTCAGGAAAATTATATTCAGCCTATGGAAACACGGATTTACTCTGGACCATATCTGAAGTGCAGATTTTTTTCCTCTGAAAAGTATGCATATATGTGTATTTGGAAGTCTTCAGAAGTGTATCTTTAATAATCATTACTGGGTGCACATTGATTAGCTAAACTCTTTGATGCTCAGTTCTTCTAACAGGACTTTTATGGTTTGTCCAAAAAGCCTGACTGTGCTTCTTCTAAAATTAGAGTGAGTATTGTCACTGAATTCACGAGGACAGTAGTGGGAGACGATAGGAGCCTGTTGCCAACAGTAGAAGTTCCTTCTTCCAGAAGCTAGGGAGGCTCTCATTTGCAATTGGACAGTTCTTTCAAAATACGCACTGAAAAGGCAGGAATGGCCAATTCAAAGTTACTTGTGGATTTGATAAGAAACCATTGTTTTCTCTGGGAGGAACTCCCTCTCTAATGTATTTTCTGTTGAGCTAGATTGACAAATCTGACAATTACGTTGCTTCTCCTATTCTTGCAGCTCCCACTTCATCCTGATTCTCAGCCCTTTAGGCATTCATGTGAAATACAAGACCCTGTAGTTCCAGGTCATCTTCATCTGGGAAGACCTCAACTATCATTTTTTTCTCCCAAGACTGAGCTACAAGTACTCAAGCTGAGAGAATAATCTAGACCTGTCTGTTGGCAACATTGATCTGTACTTTAAGGATCCATTCAAATACTTTTATTATAGCAGAGGGCCAAGTGTCTGCCATACCTGCCAGGTAGTTGTCCTGGCCAGCAGGCTTGAGAGTAATTTTTCTTTGGGGCTTAGAATTAAAGTATTATTCAAATTAAAAAAAAAACAAAAACAAAAACAAACAACATGGAAACACAAAAGTTTCAAGAGTGACTGAGACAACTTCAGTTTTAGAAAACCCCATAGCCTGGAAGTTGGTACATGCTCATGAGAGGTACACCTGACAGGAACCACCCTGCTTCGTATCTCTGCTCCAGACCAAAGACCAGGTAGGCTCCTGGGTCTCCTGCTTTCCCACTGGACTGCAAATGCTGTGACTTCAAATTTCTGCTGATGAAAGAGCACATTAAACCTTGCTCTGCCATGCTGACAGCAGAGCTGGACAGCAAGTTCAAGGTAAAAAGGGGAATAGTCACAGCACTGTTCTGAATCTAGTCCTGCTGTGACCGTAAGGCTCAGACTATTCAGATGTTTTACGTAATTTTGTCAATTCAAACTATTTTAGGTACTTAAAATATCATCAAAATTATTTCAGTAAGTAAGTAAAGGAGGGGACTGATAATCTAAATGCTGTTTCACTGTATTCTTGAAGTCAACCATTAGACAAATTGGTGCTCCTGTGTCACTTGCTTCATGCGTGCAGAACACTCCCAGAAACTAAAAGACAGGACTTGTTATTTTATTCTAACCAAAAAACATTGCAGGAGGACACATGCTATGTGAAGCACTCTCTCTTTGCAAAGAACAATAAAAGCACCACAGTTGCACAGAATACATTTGTGTCTGTGGCTGGTATGGCATTTGTATAGTGGCTATTTAGTGACCCACTTCATGTAGGTAGAATTCTTTTCAAATGTTGCCTAAATATAACAATATTTGACACGATATATGAGAAACGTCTGTTTTTTCAGCCAGACTCAGCAGCTGTGTGTGTGTGTGGCATAATTCCTCTGAGTTTCATTTTGCATCGGATGGAGGATTTGAGGTGTGTCCTTAAATTGCAAAGATACTCTGGTTTGATCCACCCATTAGATGAGAATGGCAAAACTCCCACCAACTTCAAACCCAACCTTTGTTATGATTATCAAACGTAGACTAGTTAGCAGCTGACTCTGGCAGTAAGAAAGAAGATCTCAAAAGACATTCTGCAGTAAAAATCAAAATGAGTAGAAATACCAGACCAGACACAACTGTTGCAAAGTGACTATTTCTGATCTTTCTGCGTTCCTATTGGTTTTTTCACAGTGTTTTGGAAAAGCCCAAGATAAGGATAATTCTTTTTTTCCACTGGGACTCTAATCTATTTATAGGTTACAAGGCCAGAAGAGAGTATTATGACCATCTTGCATGACCTCTCGGGTAACAGAGGCTGTAAGACTTCCCTTACTTAATTTGTGTTTGAAGTAGAGTTTCTCTTTAGAAACAATAAGAGGTTGCATCTTCTGGGAAATCCTACTGCAGCCCTTGGCAGATTATTCCGGTGACTATTACCTGTTGGAAATATGTTTTTGGTGTACATAATCAGAGTTTGTTTAGCTTTGACTTCTGAGCACTGGACCTTATATTTAATAAGTGCTTTATTAAGCCTGAGTTCCTGTCATGCCTGGTGTCCCGGAATGTAACTGTTTCTTAAACATAAATAATTTGGATTCTTTTTGCCCACCACATTGTCCTTTTTTCTGCTCTTCCAAAGGCTTTTACCTAATAACCACCTTGAGTTGTGAACACCAGCAGGGGCCCAGGGAAAGCTATAGCAAAAGTCCTAACTGCAGAAGTAATTTGTTCCTCCAGTTTTTATACTCACAGCCATCACACACAGACAGCATGTCCATGCTATCAAACATGCGCTTGAACCTATGTTCGTGCTCGTTCACTCCCTATCCACACACCTCAGATGCAAATATGACAGACTTTTTCTGGACTTTCCTTCCTGTGGGCATCTTAAGAGGGAATGTGGGGTTTGAGGGTGGTCTTCTGAAAACTGCACTAGACTAAGTGCACTGCAGGCAGGCTTCCCAGTGGGTATCCGAAGCCAGAGTTTTCCTAAGCGCAGTAGAAAAACTATGAGCCTGAGCCTTAGTGGGTTTATTAGCCAACTGTGTAGATGGAAAGGTTTCATTCAGCTTCATCTGATTAAACCTGCCCTGCAGCTTCCCTGGCAGCTTACAGATGTTTTCCTGCAGGTTTGCTTCCTCAGGGCTTGTCGTTCATGCTATGGTTGTGTGTGATTATTTCTCACAGTGACAGTTGAAATTTCACTTGATCATCTCTTTATTTTGATACCCATGCTAACTACTCTCTCTGCGAGTTTTGTGTTTCCTCATAGGAATCTGGTCGAGGTCATATTTCTTGTGCTTTGGCAATAATACTTTCAGGTGGGATAGTGGCAAAAGACTTGTCAAAGTAAGGTGACATTGTTCTCTGCTCCAAACTTGTGGGCAGCAGGACGAACTAACTGGTGTGACAGTGGGAGCTCAAGATTAGATAACAACTCAGTATGATCTCCAGATCTGTGTAAAGTAACGAGTCCCCAGGAGGGAGCTGCACATCCTGTAAAGCATGTTCTGCAATCTTTGTTCCAAGATGTGTAATTTTATGGGAGGTGTATTAAAATAAGTATTGTTTACTAAAGCCCGGCTTACTCAGAGATTACTCAGTGGTAGTGACTTTTCTTCAGAACCTACCACTCTCCCAGTTTGTGTGTTACTTGAAAAATTGAGCAGTTAGATGTTAGATCATCTTTTAGGTCTTGATGAAGTTTTAAATTGCTAAAGACTAATCCACACTTAAATCTTTAGGTAAATACATTCTGCATGAAAATTACACATTAAAAGGACATTTTGAGACCAATTAGTGAACACTTAATCTTTTTAAAGCATACTGTGCTAATTCTACAGAAGCATCCTTGGTGGAAATGTCAGGGGTTACTACATGGAAATGTAAAGTATTATTACATTATAACATTGCTCCCTTTACTCACCAAACTTGTAACTTCATCTAAAATGCATTTTCCACCAACTTTTGTCAAGTGGCATTGGTGATGGTGCTCTCCCTTTTGATTATCAGCTTTTGCATCCCTGTGTCTGGAATCAGGGTAAGGTTGACAGCTCTGTATCAGCCAGGGCTGCTCTCTTTTTACAAACCAATTAAATCAATAAAAACCCACAGATGATAATTCATCCAGTGGTCTCAAAGCTCCACAGCATCTCAGAACAAGTGATTGGGCAAATAACATTTACAAACTGTTGGATGCAAGCTTATCCAGAGATGCAGACTTTAAGTTCTTTAACTGGAGCTGCTCTTATTTTACATTCTCAGGCTTGCATTGGTACAGGAATTATTTTCTTACCAACCTGGAACATGGCTTTATCATCTGTTTTTCACCCTCAAACCAGAACAGAACAATTTACTGTGTTTCTTTTGCATTCCAATTAAAAGGTTTTTCACATAACAGTGAATCAGTTG